TTTTATAATATTGTTGTCGACTGCAAAATGTTTTTGATATATTATCATTAGATCGCAATACATTATTATTAAGAAAACCCAGCATTTGCAGCTCTTGAAAAATAAACTACAGCCCCGAGGAACCGATACCGTGCCCCCTGGTCCTCACCAGATCCGGCTCTGGACCAATAAACCGTTTGATGGAAGTGATAGGGAAGGGTTGAAGTGTGGACTGGACGGCCACGTTGTCGGCAGCATCTCTCCCGGAGTGACCGCAAGCTACGCATAAATGGCCTTTATAATGCATAATAATACGGATCGAGCGAGACGGAATAGGAAAACATAATTTACCGTAATACGGTCCGAGATCGCGACGGTCGCAAAACGCCGGCGGGACAAAGAGAAACCCGTAACGCTTACCAATACGGTTCGTACTTATCTAGTTGAATCCGTGCGAGAACTTTGCGTTTTCCGTCGACCAGAATGCAGATCTCGGTACATCGGCCCGCGGAGCGACGACCGCCTAACCCGTCGGCGAACAGTCACGTAATAATAGCAGTAATACAGTATCGTAATGCAGCGGAATACGTATATTTCGTCAACACGACATTGCGGTGAATAAATTAACGACGGCGAAAATCTGAACATCGTATACGTACAAGAGTACGCACGCGCGAACGGTACACTGCATCGCTGTGTCGTCGGTGCAGTTAATGAAAATTTTAATTTAATCACCGCGAGAGTGAACATTGATTGTATTAATAATACACAGCATGACTCGCGATGATTGAGGTACGGGTTTTCAATTATTCATGCAATTTAATACGTATATTTTCTGTGAAATATTAATACAGGTTTATAATCAGCATGAATTATTGACGCGTTTAATTCCTGCCGTGAACTTTTCGCCGGCTTCTATGACTCCCGAATGTTTTGTTTTACCGAATCATAAAAATCCAAACCGATTCTATTCAGCGATTTTTTTCTTGTTGTTTTTTTTTTTTTCTTCATATCAAGCCAACAGAGTACCGAGTTCGCGTACGTTCGTAAGCAATCATTCCCGTTTCAAATATGATACGTTTTGTTTGCTCTCGATTTTCGAGAGATTAGCTTTACTGGAAATACCCGTTACTTTATGTCTTATAGTTTTCGTTGTCTTCGGCTTCGGTGCATTGCAACTTCGGCGAACGGCGTAGCTGAGTATTGTCGTTGTTTTTTTCTTCATCTTTACCATTATCCGATCATTTATCTACTATCACCGTCAATCAGCTTAAAAATAGAAGAAGAAGAAAAAAAAAAGTAGTAAGACGTATCAATAGTTAGATCACGAAAACGTACGTGACCATCTGGCCATTGTGCGATTCCGCAGGGCTGACTGGCTGCAGGATGGAGTAGAGACTATTAATAAAATCGCCGGGACGGTGGAATTGAGTGTAGGGCGAATGAAAGGTTTCGGGCCAATAAATACCAACGGGGTCCGAGTAATTCTAACGACTCGCCTCTCGCCTTACTCCGTCCCAATCATGATTTTCCCTTCGTTGCGTACGTGCAAGTGTACGCCTGTGTGCGTACGTTTGTGCATTTGTGCGTTCGTGTGTGCGTTTGTGTGTGTGTGTGTGTATGTGTGTGTGCGTACGGTCAAGAGACTAAAAACAGTAATCCAATTTGACGATAGATTTATAGCGTTCTGCGGGAGCTACTAAAATGTTAAAATAATGGCGGACCGAAAAAGATGGTTACTCAGGTCAAATTCGCCGGGTCCGATTTAACGTAAAAATTTACCACCCGGCCAAATTACACATTTCCTTTATCTTGATTACGGTGAAATACGTCCAAAAATGTCTGTATCCACCAGCACCGCTATAGCATCGTGACTGTTGCAAAAGCCTCTATAAACAACCGCTGTTAGAACCGACGCTAAATGAGTTTGAACATGGTATTGAAAATCGTGGAAAGTTTTCAATCAAACGGTATCGATCTGCGTACGATCGTAGACTATTTCACGGACGACACGACACGGTAGTGATAATTATTCAGATACAATAACCGTAACGAAAATTAGAATCGAGAATTAGGTTGTTTGAAATAACGTTTATAACATTACGTCGTGTCCGGCACGTGTACCGATTGGACCGTCTTATGAGTACGGTGGTTTTTCGCAACATTTTCTTGTGATCCAAAACATCGAAGTTTTTTCTCACGCGTTGAAAATACGTTTATATACCGGGCACGTGGACATCAATTTTTTCGTTTTCCACCCGTGGGAGTGTTTACAACTCATGAACGCTCCGTATAGAACTATCACATATTTAGATGAAACGTTCGATGGATTCGTTTAACAATAGCGAAATGAAATGTTGCTAAACCCATTAGATATAATTATGTTCGTTCTGATGTTTGGTTTAGTAATTAAACATTAAACTATTAATGCTCGTTTTAAATATCTAAGGATTCATGTTTCTCTATTTGTTCTATTGAATTGTACAATTCCCTCGATTCGTTTGAATAGAATTGATGATTCCATGCTATTTAGAATGCATTTGTTTAATAAGAGCACATTATTTATAATTCAATTAAAAAACTTCGAATAATTGATAAATCTCATTGAATTAGTCTGCGCTCGATTACTAAGAGTGAAACTGTTTTTATTTATAATATATTATAATAATATATAACCACGCGCGAGGTTGTAAAAAAATAAAAATAAAAATAAAATAAATTATATTTTACTGAAATAAAAATAAATTTTACTTGAATTTTATTTTAATTCCCAAATTTAACTGTACATGTTTATTTTATATATTGTTTGTTGACAAAGAAATCACATTTAAAAACTTTAACCCTCCGTCTGGGAACGACCAGCTTTATGATGACTATTGAGACTAAAGGAAAATTGAAAATAAAAAAAGTCTAGCAAAGGTATACGATTGCATAACGAGATATTATATCGGAGTCGGCATTTGTGGTGAGCTCTTGCCAACAAAATATAAACGCTGACAATAGGATTTTTTTGTAGTCGTTAGAAATATTTTTTTTTATCATACAATATTTAAAGCAGCAGACATGTTTAAACGAATAAATTAAGTTTTGTCGTTTTAATTTTTTTTTTTTTTTTTTGACCGCAGGAACGAGAAATTCTTTTTGCACTTTGAATTTATTTTTTGTTGCAACTATAACTCGGGCTGAAATTACTTATTTTATTGACATTTTTCCTATGGGTCGCCGATTGAAATGAAAATATCGAGATAAACATTTTCGGAATAATATTACTTCCGTACTTCAAGAACAAATCAATTATATTAATTAAAACCAGTCATTTGTGAGTTATTGCTCCATTTAAAATATTGAAATCATGATACATCAAATGATAACCAAATACATTAGTTTGTATTCGATGTTATACTAGTATTCGTTTTATAAAATCTTTTAAAATACGAATCTGATTTCATTAAATTTTTCTTAGTCTATAGGTGTACGTTTTTAAAACAAAATTAAAACATTATCATAAAAAAAAAACATTTATTAAATCACAACAAAAATTAAATGTTGTAATCGTTTTATAGAGCTATTTAGCATAGCCACAAATAAAAACCCAGATTATAGTACATCATTTTTAAGGCTCATATTTCTGTAAATGGTTTTAAACGTAATATAATGATTAAGTTTTCTTGCGTTCAAGATGTGTCTTGTGACTTTTATGGCCAAAAGTAAACAAAAGAAAATAATAAAGTAAGTTGTAACTGTTTACTTGTAAATATTTTGTATCTCTTAAACTTCATACCAGTTACGAATGAAAAATCAATTCAGAAATGTCTCACTAATTTTTTACTCTAAATCGTTATTGTCCTCGTGAAACTACGTACCGATTTTATTGGACACTTTTAAACGAACAAGGCCAATACATTCGTAGAATATTCGATTAACTGCCGATATCGTTATGATTTTACTGTTGTTCAAAAAAATAAAAATAAATACATTTTATGTCTCGATATTAATTTTAAAAACTATATCAGAACGTTGTGTAGTGAAATGATCAATAATCATTTTAATTAAGTGCACTATGAAAACAGTTGACCCAAATATATATTGTGAAATATGTGACTACATCACAGTGATTTGTTGGGAACTTGTGCAGTAAAAGAGGAAATGTCCTCGTGGAAGTAGACGTGAAAAAAAATACATCAGGAAGTTTTTTTTTGTTACTATTGTATGCTACATGACCTCGTCGAAAATATAAAATATAAAACATTTTTACTTCCGATCTTTAAAAATAATGAGCAGTAAGCACGTGGATGTGCACTGCAGAGAAATACCTCATATATATTAATCATTTATCTAAACATATGCCGTTATTATTGCATTCCGTTGTCGATATGAACTTTTTGTCCTACTGGGTGAGACGTGCATACATTTTTACTTCTATGGTCCGAACAGTTTTTGTCGCAGTTCCGTTCATACCGTTTACATTAAATTTCTCTATTCGAAAATCGTTTTTCGGTAAAAAAAAAAAAATCAATAACGCGACGAAAATGTTAGTTTCCCATGCGTTATTATGGTTCTCTTGCCAAATCCATCGTAAACGTACAACATCAACATGGTATTTTGCACGCAGATATTTCTATATTATTTTTAGCATATGCAATGTGCGATATCCGCATAATACAACTGCAATTGTATAACTAACGTCGTTTTTGGATCAGAAATTTTCGATCAACGAAAATTCTCCAATATACTTAACATAAACTTACTCCTCGAAACGTTTTTCCTTCGGTAAATAAGTACATTCCCGGGTATCACTTCACCCTACTCGCACGGGAAATCGAAAGGACTCACGAATTTTCAGAAAGGTCATTTTTACAATAACGACACGAGTGGTGGTCGACAAATGCCGGTGGCGTTACGTTCGTTCGTTTTTCGGCCGTCCCCGAACGGTTGATAAAAAAAAATAGCTTTATTCCATTGTTCACGAGACTTAGTTACAGTAAATTGACGGGTTCTCTTTTTGTTTTTCTTTTCGACAGACTAGCTCAGACGGCAACGTGACTTCAAGTGTGCTGACGTTTACGCCGTCGATCGAGGACTCGGACAAGACGTTGAGCTGTCGCGCGGAAAGCGGCAAACAGGACACCGTGAACAACAGGCACAACAAACCCGATCGCCAGCCGCCGTCCGTCGACGTCGACTCTTCTGAAGGATGGAAGATAAGCATATTCCGTGAGTGTCTAACACATTCGTTATTAGTGTGTGTGTGTGTATGTGTGTGCAGTATTCGGAAGCTTTTGTCAACGGTCTGGTATCGTAGTATAATAAAATATCAAATGAATACGATACAACATAATATAAAACAATATTTACCGTTATTTGGAAAAACGTTTTTTTCAGAAAAAATTTAAATCGTAAGTTTTCCAAATGATTTTCCGCGGATACGGTCGCGTCGAAGTGCTGAAATGATGCTCGCGCAGTTTTCGAAAGCTCGGTCGGCTCGTCACTGCTGTTCTACCGCGTGTAAATGGTTTATTTGCCAGAACATTACATCAGTCTTTAACGTAATATTGGAAACGTACGCGTAATAATTATTGTTCGAAAGTTTCGGTGAATTTGCTCGTCCGCCTAAAAAGAACTTTTGATTTAAACGAATTTTGAATATCACGCGTACTATCCGCATTCTCGTACGGTTCGGTTAACAGCACGCCGCGGTGTATCCTCTATCCTTATCTCGTCTTACCTCGTCGACTGCTGCTGCTGCTGCTGCTGGTGTCGAGATAACCGTTCGCGCAAAACAATGGTTGATGGCGGATCATCGTGTTTTTTTTTTTTTTCAATATTATTTATACATTTATTTATTTATTTTTATCGGATCCGTTTTACCGTGTGCGCTGTAAACACCGAGATACGTATTGAACCGTAAAACGAAAAAAGAAAAACGACACATATATACATTTAGGTGGACGTAACGTTGGTTTTTTATTTTTTTTTTATTTCGAGGATCAGCTTCGGGAAACCATTCGGTTAACGCGGACGCATATACGCGTTACGCTCAAAAGTGTGTACTCTTCGCTTGACGTAATATATATCATAAGGAATGATATACGATGAGATGTAAAATAAGCAATACCGCACGCTACCATTGAAAACAAACGAAATCCGTTGAAAAACATCTTTCACCGCTGCACCGGGGGCGTTTTACGATTTCGTGCGAATCGTTAAATTCGTGTATCAAAGCGGTGGAAAGCTAGAGAGTCTCTTCTAAATTCATCATTTTTATCATTGAGTGATGGCGAAGAACTAATTACGGACCGAGGGTTTTTTTTTTTTTTTTTGAGACCAAATGAACGCATGATATAATTATAATAATAACAGTAGTCGTAATATTATAGTATTCGGGAAGGGGCGGAAGTAAATATTTTTCAACACAATGAACCTTACAAGTGCCGCGGAACACAATTTACTCGGTAAATCCCCTGCACACGGTTTAATACTTGAAATCTATTCGATCAAACTAAATCATTACATCCAAATAATGATAATAATTTATTCAACCTGTATCTATTTTTAAACAGTGTGCTATCGTTAATGAATTTTAGTTACGAATCCAAAAAAAAGTATGCGCACGTGTACAATATACATTGTAAATACTGTTCGATATTGCGTGCGTAAATGTTACATCCTTTTTCTTATTTTTTTGCTAAAACAAAGAAGGTCTGCAATGTATTTTATAAACGATCATTTGGAAACATTAAAAACAGAAGAACAAATAGCTGTTTAGAAATGATGGGCTTATGTAATTTTTATTTTAAAGCGTATTTCATTTGTATTATTGTTTCTCCCTCTCTATTTTTTTTTTTCTTACGTATGACTGAATGTATTTTTCCGAAACAGTGTTAAAAGCTTTCATAATTTCAAGGAAAAGTTAAAAAAAAAAAAAGAGATAAAAGTTTTTCATCGAATTATTTGCTTGTAGTTTTTCGATTGATTTGCTGCACATCGGACATTTATACAATCAAAGGTCGATTTTAACTTATAACTCAAATGTTTTCTACGTCCAACAATCTCACATCTAAAATCGTTATGCACTTTTCATTGTATGGATATCTTTTTGTGTACATTGTCCAATTAATCGACAACAATAGTATTATTTTGACTAGTTTTTCACAACTATTACCTATACACTATTGCAAGGTGAATTGTGTAACGTTTATAAAAAAAAAATAAAATTATCATTGAGTTACTATGTACCTTAACGTCTGGTATATTTTTCGATGAAATCACACATGTTAATATTATCTTTTAGGTATATAATATTTCGATTGATCATCGTGAGTTTCTGATTTCAATGAGGGTCGTGTTGTACTTGTGGTAGTTATTCAATATTAATACTTATATATATTCATTGTTAATTTGCGCATACTAATATTTCACTGGGTACGAATATTTTCATTTGAACTGCTTTCTCTTTTTTAATTTTTTTTTCTTTTAATAAGAATTCTCAGAATATAATAATATTCCGAACTATATTATTAAACAGTATCGCGTGCAACTTTCGAAATAAGAAATAAAATGAAATACAGCGAGATAAAATTCTGAATCGAACCGTTCAATAAGAAACGTTTTACACACCAAATATTTATTACCTTTTTTTTATATTCCCGTGACTTCTTTTCAATGATTGGGTCGTTATGTTTTATTTTTTTATATTTAATGTACGCTAAACCCCTGCGGCTGGACTGTTATTGACCGTAACGATGTATATAATATGTATATACGATGTATATAATGTTACACCATCAAACTGTATATGGGATTAGTTATGGATTTGGTGTTATTTTCGAGCTTTTACGATGGCGAAAGGTAATTTTACTCCAAATTAATATTTATTTATTCAAATTCGTCCGAAGTTTCAATGATTATGGTACTTTTAAGATGATCAATAATAATATAATGTTTTATAACGTACCTTCACAGCGACTCGTACCGGGAGTGATCGATTTCACTTTTTGCAACTTTCGGTGAGACCGTAAAGAAAAAGTCGGTTCAGTTGGTTCATAATTAATCATTTTATACCTGTTACATAAGATCAAACGTTCTGTTTAATTTCCGTTCTTGATACTCATCTAAATTCAGTGATTATTTATAGCTTTGCAATAATCAACAGTAATTATGTTAGTGTATATCATTTCAAACTCCAACCGAAACAGTTACCATCGTGATTCGGTTTCACGTCGATTACTTTACAAAACTCTTGTTATTCGGAGTTTAATGTACGCAAATGTATTAGGCAAGACGTGTCCCCATATATATTTATGAGTCGCATAAAATAAATTATTCATCGGTACGTATTCCGTAATAATTATTATTTCAAATTTAATATCAAACTACACATTGATCATCATATACAGTGGCGTATTTAGGAATTTCAAGGTAAGGGCAACACATATTTTGCCCCCCCCCCCCTTCCAGCCAAAAAATAAAATGTTGTTACTAATTAATATTATTTTTTAAAACCTCTAATAATTGCTAGATATACAATATTAATACAAAATTTAAATATTTTTCTTCCTTGATTCAGAACTAACAAAATCATTAATTATTTCTTCATAATCTAATAAAGTGGTTTTTTCAGCTTCAATTGTTAATACTGCTAAAGCCAAACACCGGTCTTGTGCCATTATAGAGCGAAAATAGTTTTTTATTCTTTTTAGTGTGGAAAAAGAACGCTCTATACTATAATTTGTGGATGGTGTATACAAAAAAATATGTAAAGCTACTCCAGTATAAAGATAAACACTATTAAAATTATGTTCTCTTATAAACTGTAACATCTGTATTGTTGTAAGCTTAACTTCAATATTTTTTATATAGCCTTAAAATTGTACACACTCATTTAGAAAACATATTGCTAAATCATTTGCGTAAGTTGTATCATTGTGTAAAGTACGAAATAAAAATTGTCCGCCCCTCTAAATCTTTAAAAATGTGCCGCTCTGGGCAACGGGACCCATGGCCCCTATCTAAATACGCCCCTGATCATATACGCATAGTACCTATTTTCACGAACCACGTTATCTGGGATAAAAAATTAAAAACTCTTTTATGCACAAGTAATTTTATCGAACGAAAAATGAATATGGGCGTATTATGTAAATTTCGTTAATTTTACAATGGGTCTAATTTTTTGAACGCTTTGGACGTAAGAAATATCGGATCGGCTGCTATTGATTTTTTGTCGAAAAAATAACAGTACGTCGAAGGTGTAGCTTTTGCATTCGAATAACACACGTCGATAACTCAATTACATCTTTGCACGTTTCGTTGTATACGCTGTGGCGTGTTGCCCCCGCATTCCAGACGATCGAAATGTCCGTTCGCTTGATAAATCTCGAGGTATTATCATTGTTATAATCATTCGTTGAAACGAAAAATATGCGATTTCATCACGGGCAAGAATGTAGTTTTTACAGAATCACGAAGAAGTTCAAAAATAAGTCTACAAAACACACATTATATTAATATTATTAGACCGCTCAGTATGTATAGATGAAAACCGACACGTATTCGGCCTAAAAACTCGGTCCGTTAAAACGGCTATTTCAATTAAATAATCTTATGTTAAATAATCTTTCAATTAAATCGATTAAACTTTTAAAATGAAATTTGACCGTTTCACATAGCATATATTTAACGAAATAATGTATTCCGTCCCGACGCGTAGAGCCGAAGAAGCTGCACCTATATGTTACTACGGTATATAAGATACAAAACCAACTGTATTATTCTTATGTTATCATTACTTTTTACTTCGCGTTCTCTTCCCGGAAAATCACGTGTACCATTTTTATCGATGTAGCTCTACCGGATGCCCCACTGGCCGTAAACAATCCTAAATCGGCTTCCGATCCTCCTGACCTATAAAAGTGTTTCATGGCATGACCTTTTTCCCGTCGCCGACCACGGTCCGATCCTGCGTGTCGCGCAACTTGTTCGATCGTGGCGAACACCCCGTGGAATCCATTTTGCGTAACTATTCGCGGTGAGGATAACTGTTGTGTCAATGCCTCGTACGAATGAGCAGTTCAATTGTGACGCAATAAGAACTACAAACAGGGATGAATTTTTTGTGACACGGATTGCGACACGCAACTGTTTAACGAAACACGGATGGTTTAAGTTCCAATACAAAATGAATAACGCGTGTTGTATCCGTAATTGAATGGAAC